TTTGTCTGATCAATCTATCAGGGAAAATGCTCTTTCAGCGCCTGATCCCACCACAGTGCTGAATGGGGACACTTTGACTCCTTTTAGGGTTTTGAGACATTTGCTGTTCCATTCTCATTGGGTTTATTTGCTTTGGCCTGTAACAACACACTCTGTTGTTTTTAAATCAGGGAGATGGGTCAATTCTGAGCTGGGCAGGGGATGGCACAGCCTGGGGGACACAGGAAAGGTGCCCTGTGACCCAGGAGGGGTGTCTGTGAGCATCACTGTCCTACTGTCCCTGTTCTCAGGCACCTCCAACCCCCATGGCAGGGCTGTGATGAGCCTCTCCAGCAAGGACTGAGCCAGATGCCATGTCCGTGTGGACAGATGGAAATTTTTGTGTGAAAACAGCTCAAACCTCCCTGTCCCTCCTGCCCCGTGAGGGTTCTGCAGAGGAGCCCGGGTGGGTGCAGGGGGGATGCAGTGATGCTGCTTGAGGAACAGAACCAAGGCTGGGTATTAATGCAGATCTCTGGCTCTGTCCTTGTGAAGAGGGTGTTTCCACTCTCCAGTGTCACCTCTGTCCCTCCACGGGCCACCCAGCAGGGTTTTGGTGTGGCAATGCCTGCTGCTCCTGATGCTGCTCCTGTGCTTTCAAAGCTTGCTCTGGCCAGGTGAGGGGATGATGTTCCATTTTTTATCTGTGTGCAGGGAGGGAGGGAAGCCGTGCCATCAGCGATGTCCCCGTGTGTGCTGCCAAGGGGTCACAGCGAGGGCTCCACGCTGCAGCTGGCCCGGGGTGGGAGGCAGCACCAGGACATCGCTATGTGCCGTGTCAGGGGAAGAAAATGTGCAGAGGAAAATGTCAGTAGGATATTTTTATTACATGGTGAGAGGGATGGTGTGATGCAACCGCGAACGGGAGGCCCCGGACTTCTCGTGCCTGCGTTTTCTCATGCAAGACTTTATAGATGTTGCATGACTTTCAACTCTGCTCTTATCTCTGCCCCCAGAGGACATAATTATTGCTAGTCTGACTGTGCCAGTGCAAGTGTTTGATGGTGAATAATATTTTTGAGAATTGAATTGCCACTTGTTTCCTAATTAAAACCCAACCTCCTCATCATGTCAGCTATTTGCAAAAGGGAACATGATGATGATAAGYTTTGTTGAGGCTTCACCTGTCTGAGGTGGCTGAAGTGCCTTTGTTAAGGGTATTCAGGGGAAAGCTGGAGGAATCCATGGAGATGCAGAGGAGCCAGCCTGCTTCTCCAGGATCACAGAGCTGAGGATCTCCCCCACAGCCTGGATTTGGGGTGCCAAATGCAAGGGCACTGCGAGGGCAGAGGCTGCCTTCTGTCAAATGGCTCCCTTTGGAACAGACAGTGAATAAAAGCAGCAGCAGCAGCAGCAGCCATGGCCATTAATTACTCTGTTTGTTTCCCACATTGCCTCTCAYCACTTATTAGCGCAGCATTAAGGAGATGCAAGCCCAGCCTGGGTGCGGGCACTGCAGAGGAATGAAATCCCGTGGGATTGGTGTGGATGTGCCTCCCACTGGAGGGGAGAGGGGCCAACGCCAGCCCAGGGCCTGGCAAAGTGCAGAATTTGGCAGATATAGGGGGTGGAGTATACAAATATGTATTCCCTGCTTTTCCCGGGAATAATTTGTATTTCCTTCTGTCCCACCGGCCTCCAGGCACTTCAGCGCTGCTGCCTGATGAATCCTCACCCAACCTCATCAAGCAGGAGCTGCTTCCCCTCCAGGCAACCCTGAGCTCAGGAGCTGCTGGGGAACACTGAGGTGAGCATGGAGAAGGGGGTTCTTCCCTCTCCCCTTCAGTCAGGCACCCCAAAAGTTCTGCAGCAAAACATGACCTCTCTATAAACAAGATTCAGMGAGTCCCATGGGGATCCATCACCAATAAATTTCCCTCCACCACCGCTGCCAAGGGGGAGGAAGGAATTTGCCCTCCCTGTAGAAAGCAGCATCCCACTGAGGGAACTGAGCTAAAAACTCCTTAATTCTCTTAATCTCAATCTATGTGCATTTCTGGCAGTATATTAGTCAAAATCGTATTAAAAACATATTTAATGATCCTTTTCTGTGAACTTTCCCCTTGAGAGAGATGTTGCTGGCATTGGAGCAGAGCAGAGATCTTATTTGATATCGGTTTTGGTACAGCTTGAAGGGCAGCAGGACGGATGTGGCTCTGTCCTGGGTGATGTGCTGCATCGTTATCCTGATGGGATGGTGTCAGTGTGGGCTGCACTTAATAAACCCACAACAGCCTCGTAGCTCTCTTTTAATATCATCTGTCACCCYGTGAAGCAGAGCAGGGCACAATTAAACATTTAAATCTCACGCAAGTGGTAGGAGGAACTCACTCCTGGGAAGGAAGGAGCAGCAGAGGGGAGGGTTGGTTTTCTGCAGCCCAGCCAGACCTCAGGACGCGCTGAAATTGATTGAGCAGCATCCATCAGCAYCCACAGAAATGTCAGGAGATGCTCAAATGCGTTCAGAGTGTATCGTGTTCTGACCTCTGCTAACCCTGGCATCGATTAACTGTGTGTTTCCTTCACCTGGGGGAATCCCCAGAGCATGGTTTGTAAACATTCACAAACCCCAAACCCAACACACGCGGCGTAAAACAACACAAACACCCAGGGTACAACACGGGCCGAGGAAARCTGCAGGCTTGCATTTGGGGAATTGAACTTCCCTGCAAAGGARGAGGCTGGCACTGCCTGTTCTGCTCGCTTCGGGGAAAAAAACAGGTTTGATTCCCCCCTGCCGTTAAAAAATACCCATCCCAGCGACCTTTAAAATAGCTGAAGGTAACAGTAAAAAATGCAGCGTTTTACACACTGCTAGAGGTGAGCTTGAACAGCCTGACCCGGGCTGTGGGGTGGCTGTGGGGACGTGCCACCATCTCTGACTGCCCTGAGGTCACATTTTGGAAATCATCAGCACAGAGAAAACCTTTGCTTATCTCCCCCAACCAGCACCAATTGAAACTCAAAGGCAGAAAGGAGGGAACAATTCCTTAACTTGGCCCTCACCGGACCTCACTTCCTAGAAACTGTCACCAGGAATGCCTTTGACGTCTACACAACAATAATGTCCAGCTAAAAACGGTGRAAACATGGCACAGAAGTGAATTGGAGAGTGTCAGGAATTTTAAAGGGATTTTTGGTGGCGGTTTTTGCTGTCACCTTCGCTGCAAAGCCATTCAGCTATCTGAGCAAACACAGGGCCCTCCTCATCTGGGTGATGGTTTCTGTTTGCTCGGGGTGTTTAGCAACACCCTGGGGTCAGAGTAAAGATCCTCCGCATGTGCTGCTGCTTCTGCAGTCACGTTTCAGGAAATGAAACCCAGCTCTTCCCGTGGAAATACCGGCGAGAGATGGGCAGAGGGGCTGCACAAGCCAAAAGTGGGAAAAGCCAGCAAAAGGCACGTGTCCCATCAGGGTAAGGATGTGAGGAATTTCTCTCCCAAAGCACCCGTGCAAATGGAAATCCCACGTGGAGGCTCTGGAATAAGTTTTGGAGTGAGATCTGGGCTGAGTCTGAGGAGCCACGGGAACCACAGCCAGCCCCAGCAGTCCTGCCAGCCCTGAGAATTTTGGGAGATAAAAACACCCCTTTCCATGCTGGAGTTTGGATCAGGGAAACSTTTAAACAGGGCTGGTGGAGAACTTCACCCTGAACTTCCAGGAGGGACATGCCCCATGTATTTCTCCTTTTCCCTGGACACCCTGAGCCTCAGTTTTGCTCTGGGGCCACTGGTGGAGGAGAAACCTTCCCCAATGGATCTATTCCGGTGAAAAACGTTGGCTTAAATTAACGTTTTCAAGAAAAAGCAGGTTCTCAGACGGTTCATAATGAGGCGCACGGTGAAATCCTCCCAGCTGTATACTCCACCTCGCTTTAATCAGATCATTAACTTTCATAAAGATGTAGGCAGGAGGAGTGGCGGCACTTGAAAAGAGCTCAAAACACGCTGAGTTTCAAACTTCAGACTTGTCATTGACTTAGCCTTTCATTGAGCCAATTATTTATGACATATTTGACGAAATTCAGAAAAGAAAGCACTCGAAATCTGCATATCTGCTTGGCTGCAGTGGAGCTACTACTACATGAAGGAGGAACCCGAGCAGGGAGCTCAGCTCAGAGCCCGGGGACACCTGGGCGCCTTGTTTTGCATCATTATTTGCCAGCAAGCGGCTCAAACGAGCAACGGCGGGGTGTCGCATCTGTTTGTATCCCGTTTTTGTTATGCACGCATTTCAATAAATGATGAGGGAATTAATCCCGAGTTTATGTGTCCAACTGGGTGCTGCGGCTCGCCAGGCAGCTCAGCGCTCCGTGGCTCGTTCCCCTTTCGTGGAATCAGTGGTTTGGGTGCAAAGAACCTTAAATCCCCTTAAATCCCACCCCATGCCTCGGGCAGGGACATTTTCCACTATCCCACGTTTCTCCAAGCCCCGTCCAGCCCGGCCTCGGACACTTCCATAGCGTCCAAACCGCACTTTCTCCATGCACTCCCGGGCCTCCCCACTCGCACAGAGCAGCAGGGAGCCGCGGCCGTGCCCGGCA